CTCAGCTGCTCATTTGCGGTGATGCGTGTTGCCATGGTTTCGTCATATAATGACTATAACATGACATATAGCCTATAACACGTTCTCACACGTTTATTTTCAGCATTGTTGGGAGGAGTCCAATTTGCATATGTGGTTTCAACAACCAGATGCATTTACACTTGTCCAGTTTGGTCAGGAATGCGGGCGGCCCAGACCTCCTCCTGAAGCGGTGTGAGCGAGCGGATTTAAACCCTTCTCAAGTGCGTTTCGGAGGGCATTTACACCTGGTCTCTTCACGATCGGACAGCTATCAGTTCACAGAAACACATGAAGTGGCCAGGTTCATCATTTAGGATGAAAAGAAAAAAAGCTATAAATTCACATCTGCACATTAGTGATGGGCAGATCCAAGTAATACAAAATAATATTCCAATTAATTGCGGGGGAATTAGAGATAAATCATTAATATGTTTAAATAAATATATGAAAAAAAAAAGTTTTAATGATTTTAATAAAGAGACTGAACTCTCATTTCCCGGTAAAACACAATGAGCGTGCGTCATGCTTTTACTTTCGTATTCAACAATATCTAGTGTTAAGTTTGTGACGTATTTCCACACACTTGATGTACCACTGCTGCTTTCTTGCTGCAGTGACCCTCTGGGCTCTTCATCTGCTGTCGTCTGCAAGGCGGCCACGTTCTTGGTATCAAAATTAGCGCAATAATAGTGTCACATGATCAACGCGACTAGTCGACGTCAAGCTTAAAGCGTCACGGCATTGCATCAAGGTCGACTAGTCAGTTCAACCTCTAGCGCACATATATCTGAATAAGAGTGACGACGCAGAGAAAAGCTCTATTCGGTGCGGTTTTCTGTGCGCACACACACGACCGAAGCGTCCAGCCGTAGACACAATACAGCGCGCGAGGACTGACCTGAGCTCTCTTTCGTGTCTGAATGGGCAAAAAACACACAACATTATGTCTAAATGTCCGTTTTGGAGAGTTTTAACTTAAACTATGTCGGTTATGTCTTAAACAGTTGTGAGTGTATCGGATGTGCATCAGTGGATTTGGATCCGCATGTCATTGGACATGATCCGACGTCTTAAAGTGACAGTGGGTAATAAACCTAATGCGGTCTGTGTCCTTAATATTGATCAAGCAACAAAAGAAAAAGAGAAAAGCATTCACTGCTCGTTAATAGCTTTAATAAGGATTCATTATATTTAATTCATACAAATAAATGTCTGCTGCTTGAAAAAATAAAGAATGATGTATGCAAGTTAAAAACAATGCATATATCATTAATTGGAAAGAAGACTGTTCTATTCTAGGAAAAGTGGTTTTATTTAATTTTAAGATATTTTTTAAGTCACAGTAGTTTCTGTATTGCATGTTCAAACTTTAAAATCATTCATATTAACATGTTAATGTTTTCTCCGGCACAAAGACCCCAGTCAGGACAAAGACTGAGACACAGATTTTCCCCCTAATTCTGTGTTCTAGAGAAGTCATATTACACTTTTTAAAGCCCTTTCCCTTAATAACACATTTCCAGATGATCTGACACATTACCACTTTGAGATGTAGTCACCAGTATTTATTTGTTATTGTTTAATCCAACCATGTAAAAAAAAAAAAAAATTTGTTCTGCATGAATACAAAAAAGCATTTAACTCCTTTTATTTTTTATTTAATCTTTTTTTTTAACCTATTTACAGATAACTACTTTGAATGCAGCTAACTAAATATAATATAAATCATAAACACTTTAATGGTGTTTTTATTATGTGACTAACAACTAACAACTATAGATGATAATAAAGTACAAAAACAACATTTTTATTTTGGGACGGTTGACTTAGTTTAGGACGGTTCAAATGGTTTATCAGGACGGTTTCAGGACGGAGGTGAAAAAAGTTAGTCTGGAGCCCTGACACCTGATAACAGGACACATGGATGTGTTCAGCTTAGACACTCTTAGGCCGGAGACACACTGGCTGCGTGGCGTGAGCGTGGCGTTTCTGCTGCGTGTCGGCTGCGTCGCCTTTTCTGTGTCTTTGCACACCAGAAGCGTGTCTGACGCGGCGCTGTGTGGCGTACACCAATACATATTCGCTATATGTGACATAGAGGGAGGGCGCCGACAGACCAGTCTACATTTGGATTACTGTTGCTCTTGCCTTTACGACAACAATTTCAACTTTTATCACGCATCTTCCAAAATCCGAAAAATAGGGAAACATGCGGCTGTCTGTTTATTTCAATAACATTTACAAATTTTGTGTAGCTTTAAAGAGCCTATATTTAGCCTACCTGATGTTGGACCGTCACTCAGAAGACACACTACGATGTTATTGTAGCCTATCCTAACTTTATATCCTCCTGAGGCCCAGAAAGTTTTTTTCAAAGAATTTTTTGATTTTTTTTCATGTAATCACATTGTTAAGATCATTAGAAACAAATGAATATATATATAGGCTATATTTTATTCATATGCTATGACCTCTGTAGTGGACACCAGGACTCGACTGTTTGAAAAATAAAATGACATGAAATTATATAGGCAAAAATAATGGGATTAAAAAAAAAGACATTTATATCTGAATTTATGTCAAATCCTAGATTTTCAAACATCAAAATGTAATTTATTAATATGTATTCGTGTACAAAATGACATATAAACATCTTTTCCTATACTATTTTGCCTGCAAACGCTTCCAACACGCTTGCGTGTCGCGTGAAAAATAGGCGTCGGTTCTATTTCTAGCATGCACGTGTTTTCCGCGCCTGAGACGCGCGTGTCACGCAGGCAGTGTGCAAGCTCTAACCTGTTAACATGGGAGCCGAAATAAAAACGGACACGCCACGCAGCCAGTGTGTCTCCGGCCTTAAGCGGTTGCAGTTCGAAGCCTCAGGTGTAGACATGGTGTAAGAGTCTTCCAGACCAACATATAGATATAGATATAACAGGCCCCAATCACACTAATGCACACATCTATTCTGACTGTGTTTTCTCAATCATACAAGCTATTTTTGGATGTAATATTCAGTAGGGCTGCACGATACTGGACAAATATGCGATATTGTTGTTGAGTATTGCGATAACGATATTTCTTGCGATATAACATTTCCCAAGAGAAAAGCTATTTTTATTAAGCTTTTTAAAAACATAATTTATAAATGTAATGATCATACTAAAATAAACAGGTAGGCTAAAAGTTATTCTTCTGATCTTCAGAAGAATATCTCAGTTTTTTCAGAAGGAGTTACACTTGCACTTTGATTAATGGTTGTCTGTGAGACTGTTATTTTTACTTGGCATTTCGTTAGCAGTGGTAGAAGTGGGCTTACACTTTTTGAAGTCTTCGCTCCCTGAGGTTGCGTTCCAGAGGACTGTGGAGATTAGTTTCCTCTCGACGTGGCCACAATGGTTCCGCACGACTTAGTGACACCGTCACTTATGTTCACATATCGCGTTTTTTGCGCATGCAAATTCGATATTTCAAACGCAGGCGCGCGGCAAACACGCTCAAAATGGAAGCACATTTATCCAGGCGCGCCTATGACGCGACGAGATGAGAACATCTCAACTTTTCAGAATGCCGCAAGCTCACCCCAGGTCATGTGACAAAAACCAACGATCAGCTTCGGCCTTTCCGTAACCACATCGAAAGCTCGGCCGAACAGCTGATCATAGCTGTACAGGGCGGGTTTTTATTTCTAATCTCCATAAATATTCCTAAAAGTAAAGCTAATACAAGGGCTAGAAGTCAATCAATCCTTTGCTGATACTTCCTCGTCATCATGGAGCGCTCCGCGCAGTTCATGGTTGCATAGCAACGACAGACGCAAGCGCTTGTGGAACGGAGATAGCGGTGCGATCCAGGCGTTTTTAGACGCGATATGTGAACGGCCCCTTACACAGTACCTGCATGTGTGACCCTTCTCTATCGAAGCCAAAATATTGCCATATTTCAGACGTACAGTTCTTTTTAGGCACAGGTTCTTCGCTGTTATCATTTTCCTCACTTATCTCTACTCCCGCCATTAGTTTTTATTTGCCACTCTCTGCTCTGAGCCACTAGGTTCCCCTTTGGGCCCGATCTAGCCAATAGCATAATAGCACCTACTGGGGAGGCGGGTATAAAGATAGTAAGGCCCCATTTGATTGGTCGAATTTGGATAAACAACCTATGCATGCACGCAACACACAAATGCTTGGCACAGAAAATAAATGTAATTTATCGCACCTCTCTGCGATACGGATATCGCATATACTATTATCGCGATAACGATAATTTTTCTATATAGCGTGCAGCCCTAATATGCTAATAATATGCACCAAGCTTGACATGGCGGTCTGTAATGTACATATAAGTGCTATTGCAACGAGGAGCTGAGATTAAAAATTAGACTTCCATCAGAATCGATTCAGAATCATTAAAGAAAGAATCGTGCTGCATCTCAGAGTTTTTTGCATGGCATTTCCACATCACGATCATCTGGAGCCTCGTGTTGTCAAACGTGCCAACTTCGGTACCAAGTCGATACTGAAATGTAAAAAAAATTGAGGTTTTGAGCGCTTGCACAGACACACACGAGCGTTCGAAAGCAGGCGTATATCAGCGGATCGGACCTGCTTTCAAACGCTCCCGTGCGCTGATCATTGTAGCCAATCACAGACATGTCCGATGAGCTCGTAACACAATGGCCAATCAGAGGCGTTTGACTCCGCTCAATAGCGCTCAAAGCCTCACATTTTTTTAATTTCAGTATCGCCTTGGTACCGGAGTCTGTACTTTTGTCAACACTAGAGCCTCGGGTATAAAACCTTGTGTAGATTACATCTTGATAGAGCATGTAAGCACACCACAATTCCAGTTTGGCACATGGCCTTTATCCACGAGGTCCCTGATCGGTCATTAGAGAGGATGTTTGGTCTCCTGTGTCGCTTCTCTGCTGCAGCTCCAGCTAACCCTACAAACACAACCTGTCCCGCCTATCTACTAACCTGGGTGTGAAAGTTTGCCATGGTAGTCGTCTCGATGTCCTTCTTCCCCAGGATTTCCATTTTGACGGGCGAGTTGGGGAACTTGCAGGAGAAGTACTCGAGGAAGTCTGGGAGATACGAGGCGGCCCCGTGGATCACGCCCATCACGTAGTTGGCAGAGCCGTCCTGGTCCTCGCTAAACGACAGGGTGACGAACTCCTGCGCGAACCTCTGCATCTCCACGGGCGTCAGGACCGAGAGCTCCTTGCTGTAGGCGTGCAGAACCAGGGCTCCTCCGTTGGGCTGGTTCTCCACATGGACCAGACAGCCGAACTCCAGCCGGTCCAGCCCGGGCAGTGTGGCGGGCTTCTCCGGGCCGTCTGTAGCGCTCAGACTCTGAGTGCAGATGTTCTTCAGGCTCGGTGTGCCTCTGCTCTCCGGTGTCGTCGGGCTACAGGAGCTCACAGAGACGCTCTGCTGGACCGGAGCCGGAGGCTGGAACTCGGACTCAGGACTAACCGTCTGGCTGGACTTGCAGTACATCTTGGGCCGCTTTCGCTTTTCACCTTCTTTATGTTTCTTTTTCTTTTTCTTCTTGACCTTTTTCATCAGCAAGTCCTCAGCGGAGTTAATCTTCGGCTTCTCTCCGTCACCTACAGCACAGGAGAAAGGGGATTAACTTCACAAACATCCTCAGAACAAAACAAAAAAATAATTCACCCCCAACAAATAACAGAGCTGATAAAAGATGATAAAAGCTTCAGCAATTATCGAACATGAAAACTTGATAGCGTCTCATGCCTAATATTAATAAACGTCAAAAATATTTGCCATGTTAATAAAACACCTTAAATCAGGGATGCAAAAACAATTGAAATGTATCCAACGCACTACTTTCTTTAAATAATGTAATGCAATTAGGTCATTTAGTCATCAGTTATGCATAAACTATCGTGTAGTGTGTTAACCGATCTGATGTGTGACAGGTGAGAGTTTAGCGGCTGACATAAATCGGGGCGGCAGTGGCTCAGTGGTTCATGTGGGTTGTCTACAAACCGGAAGGTTGGTGGTTCAATCCCCGGTTCAATCCCTCGGCACAGGTACAGAGAGTTTAGCGGCTAACATAAATGAGGCACAGGTACAGAGAGTTGATGTGACAAAAACACTAAACCCAAACTGTCCACTGCCAAAGCCACATCTATCCGGCACACAGCAGTAACTGCAGACATGGGCTCTTGATGCTGCTGGTGTTTGTCCGTCTCCTCCATATGATCAACTATTACCTCATTTCAATGTCATGATTACAGCAAATAATTAGTTAAAACATTAAGTTCATATCTTCTTACTTGAGCTTTTAACAACACTCACCGCTGTGCTGTAACGAAGGTTCAGTACTTAGACTATGACGGTGCAAGTAACATACACAAGCATTTTTCTAATTTAGTATAAATGAGTTCTAAATTTAATCTATTACTCTAGTGGTCTTGACTGCCTTTATGCCATACATATATATATGTATATGTCTGTTGTGAGAGAATATTTCTGACTGCTTGAAAAACAACAATTAAATCAAGATTATGGTTCACATGTCACTCACAGTTGATTCAATCTTACAAGTGGATCTCATTTGCTAAACAATAACCAAATAATATTATTTAGAATATAATTTTTACTCATGATTACAATAACAAACAGCAGTTATGAATCTTTACACAACGTCATAAAAACAAGATCAGTGAGGTATAGATACACATTTCCCACTTTATTTCGAATCAGACATGACCAAACGAGTCGTGGTTCAGTGAGTCATTATGAACTCTGAACGATTCACTGACCGAGTCTGATGTAAAATTGTTGTTACACCTTTTATTCACATTTGCACACATTTTAATAATAATATTTTTGTGACACCTGAATGTTTTAGAATACCATTTCTTAAATAAGCAATAAAGTCCGTGAGGTGTTTTCCTCGCTTGCATGACGGCGTCACATGGCTAGTCTAAAGCGGCGGCCCTCGATGAGGCCGCGCTCCGGTCACACGGTCACAGGAATGATGATGACATGGCCATCGCTTCGGAAACACCTGAGATTAGCATTCAGGCGTAAAAGGACAAAGAAAGCAGAACCTGCTGCCGATAGAAAAGCTTCACACTCGGTTCTTTCTTTCAGGGATCAAACGGAACAGAATAAAAAACGCTGGTCCTTTTTTTAGTCATCATAATGTGTCTTAGTCGAAATAAAAAAAAACTTTTATACAATAAAATGAAGCATCACTGAACTTCCTTAAGCTGGACTCTGACGCTATTCTCTTCTAGAAACAAACTTTGCTGGATTATTCTCCTGTTATCTCTGTAAAGCTGCTGTGAAACACTCTGTTGTAAAAAGCGCTGTATAAATAAATGTGACTCGACTCTGTTGTTTATAGGAACCCCTAACCCTGCAGCCCAGGTCAAAGGTGAAAGGTCACAGACGTTCAGGTGCGGGTGTTTGATGGCGTCTGTGAATTACGAATAACAAATGTCTCACCTTTCTGCAGGATCTTCACCTCTCCATTCTCTCTCTTCATCTCCGTCATCAGCTTGTGTTTTCTTTTCTCCTTCATCTCTCGCTCCTGCTCTTTTTCTCTGTCCTTCTCTCGCTCCCTCTTTTTCTCACGGTCTCTGTCTTTCGGTTTCTCTTTGTCTTTAATGGTGTGTTCTGGAGGAGAAAGAAACACACGCGAGGTTAAAGCATTCACTGATGTCGAAGGTTTGTCAGGTTCGGCTCGAAGACACCGGGTTCACGATCTAACCTCCAGTTATTAGTCTAACCCTAACCCAAACACACAACTCCTCAACAGAGTTCCAGCTTCTCTACGAGATGTCCATATACCTGGATAAACTGTCTTAGAAATAAAGTATGAACAGTCCTTCAACTTGCACAAGATAATTTCTTATTTTTTTATTCTCCTGGTCAGTTTTAACCAGATCACAATCTTGAGGATAAATGTCAGGGTCAGATAATGTTGCCATAAAGACAAACTGCACAAATTGTGAAGAAAAAAAACATGATTGTACAGCACACAAAAAAAGACACAGAGAAAGTTCAACCTAAAGTGTTCAATCTGTCATATTTTTCTTAACCTCATTTTGCTCCAAACCTTATGCCTTTCTTCTGCGGAACACTACAGATATTTTGAAGAACATTTCAACTTTTTTTGGTGTCCAAAACATTGCATCTCATTGACTTTAATCATGTGGACAAACTTTCTGTTTAGAATATCTTCTTTAGTGTTCCACTGATGAAAAAAGAGTCGCACAGGTTTGGGACACGAGAGCGAGTAAATCAGGACAGAACTGTTCCTGTAAATGATCTCAGACCAAGTGTTTCATTGAAGAAATACAGCTTCTTCTGAGGAGCTTTACAACCCATTTACTGCCTTTGTCAATAACATAAAACTGAACTGTAATGAGTTAGTGTGAGCAACTCGTTCTCAACTCTGTGCAGGACAGACTGGATGTGCTGTTCATCACAGATGGGTTATAGCTTTATTAGTGCTGATCGTGTGTGTAACAGGCCTGACACGAACACAACTGCAGCACAACATGCATGTAAGAGTGAAGTTGAACATGATATTTATTACAAAGTAACAGAACATCCCTGTCACAAATACTGTTCCAGATCAGCTTAATAACACGTCCGAGGTGGTAATGACCAGGAGACCATCTCCAAAACCAGGAGATGTAAGAATCGTGATCGTTCGGTTTGGTGTCTGAACAGATACTTCAGGAATGACAGCAGTTTACGGTGTTTATTACTACAGGTAATTATTCTAACGTTCTATAGATTGAGTTGATATTTGGATATTATCATATGTTTCCGATTATGTTCGGCGAAGTCCGTGAGTGTGAGTGATTCTCTCAGACATTATTAACACAGCGGATATTATAACGCTATTATGGTTTAATAAGCTCGTTCTGCGGCGGGTCACATTGCAGCTGCACGCGCTCCGTCACCGCTCGGGTCGCGCGCCGATGCTAAGCTAACTAGCGCTGTCGGATGTGTTCGACACACAAATAAACACACACGCGCTGACAGAGGCACAATAAACATCAGAAACACACACACACATACACACACACTCGCACAGATCACATATAGCGAACCAACGGCCCGTTATTAGCCACAAACAGCGCCCGAACGAAGCGGCTGTCGATACCTTTCTGCGACAACTTCAGCTCTCCGTTTTCCTTCTTCACACTGAGGTGATTTTCAGCCGCCAGTTTGTGTTTCTTCCTCTCTTTTTCTCTCTCTTTGCCTTTTTCTTTCTCTCGGTCTCTGTCTTTCTCTGTTTTGGTTTTCTTGTTTTTCGGTTTGCTGCTGTAATTCTGCTGCTCCGTGCCTCCGTTCATCTTCTTGGCTTTAAATATTTTCTCCTCTTGTCGGATTTTCTTGGCCGGTGGAGGATGATGATGGTGCTCCCGGTTCTGGGACGCTGGTTTCGGTTCAGTGGGTTTGTTGAGCTGAATGAACTCCGCCATCTTTTCTCTATTTACTCTCTCTCGAGCTGCTGCTGTTTGTGTAAGAGGCACGGGAGGGGCGTGGCCTGGTGTTGATTGACAGGAAGAACGTACTTGTGTGGGGCGTGGCCTTGATGATTGACAGGAAGAAAGTACTTGCGTGGGCGTGGCCTGGCGTTGATTGACAGCGAGAGCAGCTTTTTAAAGCGGGTGGAGAGGAGAGGTGACGTCAGCAGCTTAGTCACTGTATTCATTTGAATAAGATCCATGAGCCCATTTACTACTATATTTTATACTAGCATTCAGGGCCGTAGCTAGAGGATTCGGGGCCCCCTGAAAAAATATTGATGTGGGCCCCCACCACCCTCCACCAATATCATATACTGTACAATAGATGAACATGGAGGCCCACATAACAGAAGATGGTGATGTTGTTGTAAAACCTTTATTTTAAAAGTTAAATGTTTATATAAAAATTACAACTAATAAAAACTAACAAAAAGCAAGAAATTGTTAAATAATAATAAAACCAATTTTTAAAAAGTAATATTTTTTTCCCCATCAGTCTGTTATAATTCATAAATCAAAAAGTAAACATTTAGAAATTGACAAGAATGCAGTCTAATTAAAAAAATAAAACCATTCATTGTCTTATTTTTTAATAAAGATAATATGGAACTGGAAATATTATTAAATAAAGCGAATACATTTATTCATCCAAGTGTAGTGTGTTGTATTCGTGTTTTCTCGATGTTTTAAATATCATCAGCCGGCAGGTCAGATGCATAATGCAATGCGTCGTGACTCGTGTAATTTTTTTAAAACTCTATTTACAATACTGTAAAAAGACAGGAATTTAGACCACGTAATCATTCGGTCGACTGTGGCGCGCACCTAGCCTGACTTCGTCATACTCATATTCTAGTCAGAATGTGAGTCTGATACTGCTTCATAGGGCTTTGATTATGAGGCGTGTCTTAACCGAACCAGGAAAAAAAAACCTCTGCACTCAATTGGATAGACCTACAACCAATGAGAGCAACGCAGTAAGCCAGCTACTTTGCATAGCACAGTTGTCAACTACAGAACTCAAATGCACGCACGCTGGAAGAAGTAAAATAACGAGTGTTGCTTCTTTTACTTGGCCCTCCATGAGTGCGACCAAAGGAGAAACCACAACGACCACAGGGTTTCATTGCGTCCCATCTTCTTAGTTACCATCGGAGCCAGCTGATAAATTAAACTTTTGCCGAATCCCGTAGGAAGGACGGCAAACACATCTTTCCGATCGACAAATGCCTTGATTGCAGTTCTATGTTCGTCTATTAAAATGAATGCGCTGTCGATTTCTTTTACAACAGACGCGATAGCGGGATCTCTACATCTCAGTTCTCCAGCTGCAGTCGTCTCTGAGGGAAACCAGTTAAGCGCTCTTTGATAACGTGAGGATTACGTCCTGCAGATCATCTGTCCATCATCGTATAAAGCCCGCCCTGGCAATTTGATTGGCCCGACGATTTCTGAACCGATCATAATTACTCCTCAATGGAGCGAGTCCAGACCGAACTTCCCGATCAAAAAAGGTTGTGGGCGGGGTTCGGGCTGGCATCCAGGCTAGCGCGCACCGATAATAAAAAATGACTGTACACCGCAGACTGTAGACGGAAGTTTTCTAATTCCCAGCGAAATAACAATACATAACCGGTCTTTAAGAACGTCTTGATCGACTGGGATACAACCACTCTCCTTGCCTCCCTCTCCGTCTTTTCCTGGCATTTCTGGTTCCCTGATTTATGTTTTCTTTTCCCCGACATTTTTCAGTCAGTCAGTCTCCTGCTCTTCCACCAAGTTCATCGTTAACTTCAGGCTGCCGCCTCAACTCTGATTGGTTCTGTTCACGAGCTGGGGCGGGACTTACAATTTTATTGGGTCCATCTGATGTTTGTCACTGACTCTGACTGAATAATTAAGTTGGCTTGTGAAAGCCAACTTACTGATATTGTATTTAAACTTATTATTATTCTTCTTCTTTTTCTTAACCAAAATTTTCTGACTGCTACTCCTCCTAGAGCTTTAACTCTACAAACTCCAAACTCGGGTCAGACCTTCAGACTGTTCTGACTTAGTGTGCTATATCTTTTCAGACTGATTTGACTTTCAGATTTCTTAAAAATTAATATTAAAAATCATAAAAATCCCATTGACTTTCATTGCAACAGTTCAAATTGAGCCAAGGCTACGGTGGCCCAGTAGTGTACAACACAAAAACTCAAATCTAAACTCCCTGAAGCCCTAGACTCAATTAAACTACCATTCGTACTAATGAACCTATCTATCTATCTATCTATCTATCTATCTATCTATCTATCTATCTATCTATCTATCTATCTATCTATCTATCTATCTATCTATCTATCTATCTATCTATCTATCTCTTTCTATCTATCTATCTATCTATCTATCTATCTATCTATCTCTTTCTATCTATCTATCTATCTATCTATCTATCTATCTATCTATCTATCTATCTCTTTCTAACTATCTATCTAATCTTTCTTTCTTTCTTTCTTTCTTTCTAACTAATCTTTCTTCTTTCTTTCTTTCTTTCTAACTAATCTTTCTTATTTCTTTCTTTCTTTCTTTCTAACTAATCTTTCTTATTTCTTTCTTTCTTTCTAACTAATCTTTCTTCTTTCTTTCTTTCTTTCTTTCTTTCTTTCTTTCTTTCTTTCTTTCTAACTAATCTTTCTTCTTTCTTTCTTTCTTTCTTTCTTTCTTTCTTTCTTTCTTTCTTTCTTTCTTTCTTTCTAACTAATCTTTCTTCTTTCTTTCTTTATTTCTAACTAATCTTCTTTCTTTCTTTCTTTCTTTCTAGCTAATCTTTCTTCTTTCTTTCTTTCTTTCTTTCTTTCTTTCTTTCTTTCTTTCTAACTAATCTTTCTTCTTTCTTTCTTTCTAACTAATATTTCTTCTTTCTTTCTTTCTAACTAATCTTTCTTTCTTTCTTTCTTTCTTTCTAACTAATATTTCTTTCTTTCTTTCTTTCTTTCTTTCTTTCTTTCTTTCTTTCTTTCTTTCTTTCTTTCTAACTAATCTTTCTTCTTTCTTTCTTCCTTTCTTTCTTTTTTCTTTCTAACTAATATTTCTTCTTTCTTTCTTTCTAACTAATATTTCTTCTTTCTTTCTTTCTTTCTTTCTTTCTTTCTTTCTTTCTAACTAATCTTTCTTCTTTCTTTCTTTCTTTCTTTCTTTCTTTCTTTCTTTCTTTCTTTCTAACTAATCTTTCTTCTTTCTTTCTTTCTTTCTTTCTTTCTAACTAATCTTTCTTCTTTCTTTCTTTCTTTCTTTCTTTCTTTCTTTCTTTCTTTCTTTCTAACTAATCTTTCTTCTTTCTTTCTTTCTTTCTTTCTTTCTAGCTAATCTTTCTTTCTTTCTTTCTTTCTTTCTAACTAATCTTTCTTCTTTCTTTCTTTCTTTCTTTCTTTCTTTCTTTCTTTCTTTCTTTCTTTCTTTCTAACTAATCTTTCTTTCTTTCTTTCTTTCTAACTAATCTTTCTTCTTTCTTTCTTTCTTTCTAACTAATCTTTCTTTCTTTCATTCTTTCTTTCTAACTAATCTTTCTTATTTCTTTCTTTTTTTCTTTCTTTCTTTCTTTCTAACTAATCTTTCTTCTTTCTTTCTTTCTTTCTTTCTTTCTTTCTAACTAATCTTTCTTCTTTCTTTCTTTCTTTCTTTCTAACTAATCTTTCTTTCTAACTAATTCTTTCTTCTTTCTTTCTTTCTTTCTTTCTTTCTTTATTTCTAACTAATCTTTCTTCTTTCTTTCTTTCTTTCTTTCTTTCTTTCTTTCTTTCTTTCTTTCTTTCTTTCTTTCTTTCTTTCTTTCTAACTAATCTTTCTTTCTTTCTTTCTTTCTTTCTTTCTAACTAATCTTTCTTCTTTCTTTCTTTCTTTCTAACTAATCTTTCTTTCTTTCATTCTTTCTTTCTAACTAATCTTTCTTATTTCTTTCTTTTTTTCTTTCTTTCTTTCTAACTAATCTTTCTTCTTTCTTTCTTTCTTTCTTTCTTTCTTTCTTTCTAACTAATCTTTCTTCTTTCTTTCTTTCTTTCTTTCTAACTAATCTTTCTTTCTAACTAATTCTTTCTTCTTTCTTTCTTTCTTTCTTTCTTTCTTTCTTTATTTCTAACTAATCTTTCTTTCTAACTAATTCTTTCTTTCTAACTAATCTTTCTTCTTTCTTTCTTTCTTTCTTTCTTTCTTTCTTTCTTTCTTTCTTTCTTTCTAACTAATATTTCTTCTTTCTTTCTTTCTTTCTAACTGATATTTCTTCTTTCTTTCTTTCTAACTAATCTTTCTTTCTTTCTTTCTTTCTTTCTAACTAATCTTTCTTCTTTCTTTCTTTCTTTCTTTCTTTCTTTCTTTCTTTCTTTCTAACTAATCTTTCTTCTTTCTTTCTTTTTTCTAACTAATCTTTCTTCTTTCTTTCTTTCTTTCTTTCTTTCTTTCTTTCTTTCTTTCTTTCTAACTAATCTTTCTTCTTTCTTTCTTTCTTTCTTTCTTTCTAACTAATCTTTCTTTCTAACTAATTCTTTCTTTCTTTCTTTCTAACTAATCTTTCTTCTTTCTTTCTTTCTTTCTTTCTTTCTTTCTTTCTAACTAATATTTCTTCTTTCTTTCTTTCTTTCTTTCTTTCTTTCTTTCTTTCTTTCTAACTAATCTTTCTTTCTAACTAATTCTTTCTTTCTTTCTTTCTAACTAATCTTTCTTCTTTCTTTCTTTCTTTCTAACTAATCTTTCTTCTTTCTTTCTTTCTTTCTAACTAATATTTCTTCTTTCTTTCTTTCTAACTAATCTTTCTTCTTTCTTTCTTTCTTTCTTTCTTTCTAACTAATATTTCTTCTTTCTTTCTTTCTTTCTTTCTTTCTTTCTAACTAATATTTCTTCTTTCTTTCTTTCTTTTTTTTGTTTCTTTCTTTCTAACTAATCTTTCTTTCTTTCTTTCTTTCTTTCTTTCTTTCTTTCTTTCTTTCTAACTAATCTTTCTTCTTTCTTTCTTTCTTTCTTTCTTTCTTTCTTTCTA